GAATTTGTGCAGAGGCTTTCTGACTATTGAAGCTAGCATGGAAATCAGATATATTTCACTATCTGGGCCAGAGTATTCTCTTTTATTTTTCCTTTAATTTTTAAAAACTTTTCTTTTACTTTTAATTTTTTTCAGAGTTTTCTTTCCTCAAGCTATTGGTGTCTCTTCTGTGGCATACCTGTCTTTGCTCGTACTGAAGATCCAAGATCTCCAATAGAAGATCTCCATCAAGACATCACAGTTTAAATCTTTACAAAAAATAATAAAAGTTTTCAGTTAGGAGCCAGTTTCTGTTCTGGGCAGCGCCCTCTGCTCCACACTCAGTGGTGTTTCCAGGTAAACTTACAGAACCCCACTAGGAAGCTTATCTGAGAGAGGGAGGCAGGCCGAGTGTTTCTTTTTTTTTAAAAATTAATTTTATTGGTACATTTTAGGTATACAATATAATGACATTCATCATTGGAGATTTGTACCCTTACATAATATATATTGGTTCTTATTTTGTCCCCATTCCCCTGCCCTCCCTTCATCCCCTCCACCCCTCCCTATTTACAAAGACCTTATTTCCATTTTCTCATTTTCTCATATTAATTCCATCCCTTCTTTCCCCCTCCCACTTTCCATTCCCTTTTAGATCTTTTCTTCCTATTTCACATTGTCTATTATGAGAAACTGAAGGCTGTGTTCCCTACAGGTCAAGGAGCTGGTTGCTTACAAGTAAAACTGTTCCAAAAGAGATTGTTGTCAGGGCCCATTTGGCATAGGAGTCAACAAGTAGGAATCAAGTATTTCCCAAACAGCTCTGGGGTGGCTGAGATGACTGGTTTCATCAGGTTGCTTTAACTCAGGAGGCCACAAATGCCTGCAGCAAGAAATCTGAGGACTTGCAGCCCTTTCTTCATTGATGTGTCATGCACGCCCACTTCATACCTGAGAAACCCAGCCCAGCAAGGCAGGCTGGTGTGTGGGCTGGATCTTTTACCAGAGAGTGCAGATAGCCAGACCACCAAAATAAAACAAATAAGGCCGTATATATATTATTTGGATGTAAGACAACATCTTCACAATAGATCCAGTCTTTTCCTTTTTGTGGTTTCAGTGACTGCTTAATTTGGGTAAATGGTTTTAGTAGATCCATCCAAGAGGAAGTCATCTGAGGAGAAAGTGTAACTTGTTCCTCATAACATTCTGTATGTTGTACAGCTGAGTTGACAGCAGCTGCAAGCTCTGGTGGGTGGACTGTCTCTTGGGTAAGACTGTTGCTGCAGATGCTATCTGTGTTTTCATGCCTGGGTCTGAGGCAAGGCCCTGATGGAGCCTTTACCTTTTAGCTGAGCCTGTACCTTGGCCTATGTTCATGAAAGGAAGGTCATTCATTCATTTCTGCCTTGAGGCCAATCCTGCCGGACAGACCTGAATCAGAAACCACAGTAAAACTTGCTTGAAGTCAAATTGTTGGCAAAGAATTATTTACCTGTCCTCTCCCTGCCACAAAAAATAGGCCAATCATTGCCACCTGACCAGTGAAATTTCCAGTGGCATTTGCTTCTGGGATTTTTCACTGTTAGCAAGAAAAGCCAGGGATTTATCTCAAAGGTACTGCTGCCTGCCTTGCAAGCAGAAGGTCCGAAGTTCGATCCCCAGTAGCAAAAAAAAGAAAAGGCAGGAAAGGCCTGAGGGAGTGGTGGTGATTTGAGCCTGGCACTGTTAGCAGGGGCATGGGACAGAGATCCTTGGATGTTACCTGTGAGACAATAAATTGTTGCATCATTTCAGGAGGCTAATTTGGTATATGTGTCCTTCATAGGGCATTCTTGTTTATTAATTACTATGAATGTTTGAGATTAGCCTGAAAAATCTTGCTTTGATGAATGAATAGTATAGTCACCCAGGCTTTGGGATGCTTTAGGGTATGCATTCTAAGAATGTACAAAAATATAGCTTCAGGGGTGTTTACCATAGGTCTACTGGGCTTAAAAAAATTAGAAATAACTAGTGTGCTCAAAAATAGATGAACTAAATTGGTCAAATAAATGATGTCCAACAATCCCACTGGAGATTCCCCTTTTTTTCTTTTGACTCATTCTCATTATTCTCTTATTGCTTCCCTTTTCATCTATTCTAACCATCTTGGGCTGCAAAATAAATCTTTCCCAACAACGCGTGCATACACACCACAAGCGTGCATTCATGCACAAGTTATCTGGAGGTAAATACAAAACCACGGGGTTCACATGGAGGTTAATGGTTGCAACCCTTTTACTTTGATGAAATTACAGCCTGCTTCAAAGATAACTTCTCTCTTCTTGCTTTAGAAAGTGAAGTATGTTGATTTATTTTATTTTTTTCTTTTTTTAATACAGGGTCTACCAATTTTGCCCAGGTTGGCCTTGAATGCATGATTCTCCTGTTTTAGCATTTTGAGTAGCTGGGATGACAGCCATGTGCTACTACACCTGGCTAGCATGTTGATTTCTTATTGCTGTTGGACTAGGCAGGTGTGTTAGGTTTCAAAATACCTGCAATATTAACTCGTAAAAGGAAAAGGTTTATTTTGGCTCATAGGTCTAAGGTTGCAGTTCATGATTAATTTTCCCCTTGGTTCTGCATCTGTGGTGAAGCAGCATGTAGTGGCACAGGTGGGTGGTAGAGGAAAACTGTTTACCTGTGGCCAGGAAGCAAAAGAAAGAAAAGGAGCCAGAATCTTAAAGGTCCCTTCAGAGGCATGCCCCCATGGCTTTAAGGAGTTCCCACCTGGCCCTGCTCACAAAGTTCTACCACTTTGCAGTAGAATCATGAGCCTTTAACACGTGGGCATTTAGCATCTGAACTGTAGCAGCTGACAGTGCTTTGCGAATGTTAGAAAGCACCAGAATTACTTGGAGGGGTTGGGTAGAGGCTTTTTAATTAGGCAGTTCCTGGACCTCCTTCTCCAGAGACTCAGAACTGGAAGATTTGGGGTAGGCCAGGGAATCCCCATTTTTAACAGCCATGCCCTTCTGTACTGAGCAGTTTGAATGCAGACTATCTTCTGGCCATTCTGTTGGCAGACATTGGCTTCTGCCTTAGCCAGAATCAGGGACACTTGACCTGAAATGCTGTCAATCTCCAGGTGTTTTTCTCAGAAAACCATTAAATGAAGTCCTGTCCCCTGGGCTTTCAACATGGGCCTGAGGAGAAATCAATCTTCATTGAGGCTTGAAGTTCTGGCAAGGACTATCCCTCCAGAGAGAAAGGTCAGGCAGGCTCCAGCCCAGGTATTCTAAACTTGTCCACTCTCTTTAATGTTGAGTTTGATAAGAGAGAAATTCTGAGCTGTCCTAAGTTTAATTATAGGGTGGAAAGACAGAGAGGAGAGGTGAGGAGGGTTAATCAGCTAACAAACAATAGGTCACCAATAAAAGAAGTATCTTAAAACCTTAAGTCTAATCCTATGGTGGCCACATCCTGTTTACTGTAGCAACCAGTTGGAAGCTATAAGTACCTCTCATATCCACCGCTCTCCTGTCCCAAACCTGTCCCCTGCTTATCCTGCTCCTCTTATCTGTACTCAGTGTAGGTTCAGTGTGAAAAACTCATGCCTTACTTCCCCAGTTCTCGTTACCAAAAAGAAAAAAAATGTGCTTAGCTCTGGTTTGGTGGACATTTTCCAACTGCTACCTAGCCCTGCTGTTGGTGGTTGTGGGAAACTGTTCCAGGTCCTGGTCCTTTTCTTACTGGCTCACACCTGTAACAGCTCCACAAACACAAAATCCCTTCATTCCTGGAGTTTGGGGTTAACAGGCTGGATGGAGAATCTTGATTACAGGTTGGATGAAGACTTCTGCATTTGCCCACAGAGAGGTGGAAGAAAGAGCTGATGCTTGCTGCAGATACATGAAGTGGCTTAGTCACCAGCCTGCCATCAGCAGACCTCAGGCTAGGGCCTGACCCTGGTGGCAGAAGCTGTGGGAGTCATGCCCATAGGCCATGGAGCCAGCAGCTGGAGTAGACACATTCTGGCTGGGGCTTCACTCAGGCATCATGCACGCTTGCCTACTTGGCCAGACTGTGGAGAGGAATTAGCACTGGACATCTTTGGCAAGGTCTGTTGACATGACGCTTGTTTGCATACCCCATGGAACAGATATCTTGGCCAGTGTCACTCTGGGATCACTAGTTGTTGGGGCATGTTGGCTATAATACCAAGGAAAGAGCTAAATTTTTATTGTTCTTAACCCAATGCTATGAAAAGCTGACACTTAGAGCTAGGGGCTGGTGGTAGAGGGGGAGCCCAGGATTCCTGCTTGGGATTGATGTAGTTGGGGGAGAGAAATGAGGTCATTCAGTTAATAAGCCTGGCTCTGTGGTCTTAGGGATGCATAGAGAGAGGGTCCCTGGCCTCGCAGAGTTTTATCTGTGTATGTAAATAGTTGCAGATGTGTGCAAACTGAAATACTTGCTAGGTTGCTGGGGACACAAAGGGAGGGAAATAAACCTAACTTTAGTAGTCAAGGAACACTTCACAGAGGAAGACACCTCTACACTGGGTAAGCAGGAATCCAAAAGTTAGGAGATGGCCTTCTTGACAAATCAGTAAGGGTGAAGGCCTGGAGATGGGTGCAGCCGGTCTCACTTGTGGCTTTGAGGATTCTGCCAAAATGCATATAAGGTGCTTGGCTCAGAGCATGGCACTGCTTGTTGGAGAATTGTGGTGAGTTCTGACCGGATGGGGGCAGCCTGAGAGAGTCCTGCTGACAGGAAGGCTCATGTCTCAGAGCCAGGTCATTTGTGCCAGGCTAGGGGTTTGGTGATGGTGGGCCAGGGAAGGTTTATCAGGTGCTGCCTTAGACTTGCATGCTGGGAAGATCAGCAGCAGCTACATGGAGGGGCCAGGACTGAACAGGTACCGGTCAGGAGCCATCAGGAGCATGAGCTGGCCATTCAGTCTGAGGAGTTGGACAAAGCCAAAGGAGTTCAAATGGGGAAATATAATATCCATAGGGTCACGTGGTGCTGAGAGCCTGGAGAAACATGAACAGAAAGATGCCCAAAGTTCTGCAGAGACAAAGATAAAGACATCTGTACGTTATCTACAGAGCCAGCAAAATGCAGTCAAGGAATGAAGCCCCAGGCTGGAATCTGACTTGGCAATTTAAAGATCTGACATCAAGGGAAGGTGAGTCAACTCATTAACTTACTTAGGCCCCTAAATGCAAGGTAGATCAGGTCTGTGTTTGTGTATGGGGGGCTCTCAGCAGCACTCTCTGGAAGCTAGTCAGAACCTGGACAAAATCTGGTGTGCAGACTTTGCTGGGAAGTAAAATTTCCTAAAGCAGAGTCTGTTCACCTTGCTTGTATTGTGAGGAAATAAAGCTGGGCTTCTATAATCATGCACATTACCTGGTCTTTTCCCCAGAAGTTAGACTTAATGGATCTGACTGGAGCTCAGTGATCTGTGTAGTGAATCCCAGTGGTTATTTCTGAGAAATCTGGTGAATCCAGCCTCCGGGAAAACTTTCTTTTTTTTTCCTTTTAGGTCGAGAAGGACCTGAAACTAAGTATTGTATACAAATGATTTTTAAAAATACAAATACTATTAACTCTCTTAAGAATACTCTATGGGTACTTGGTGTAACAAATGGAGAGGAATGAGACCACTTGAGCAGGTTAGTGAAAACAGACTTTATTCACTTGGGCAGTGGTGGACTGATGGCAAACAAGAGGCTGTCAGTACTGAACAAAGAAAAGGAGGAAGCTTTATAAGGGATGGGAAGAGACATCTGGCCTATCTACCATGTATAGGGGGTTAGGGTCTATGCAGTGATCAGGGCAGAGGTATGGATATTTTCAGATGAATTGGCATTGAAAAGATTCTGTATTTTATAGTTGTTGTCTTTGTGTTAGGAACATTTCATCCTGTGTTCTGTGTTCTGTCTGTCCCGCGATGGCATGGTTTTTGTCGGGCAGAGACAGCACCTTCATTGGCTGCCTGTTTCATTGAGGTTTTTTGTATCTTGTCAAACTGTAGCTTGAAATTAAAGCGCATATTCATTAACCATTTCACAACCAGGTCAAGACTGACACTTGACATTTTAAGTGCTTGTAGATTTGAACAGAATTTGATAGAATGGGTGATACTTATAATTTAAAAGTAGAAGTATAATTGAATAACTGAGTTAAATTTGTGATTTTAAGTCGAAAGTTTCATAAATTCACGTGTGATATTGGAAGAATCAGAATTTTAGTTACTATATTTATCCTTCTTTCTTCTTCTTTTGGTACCAGGGATTCAACTCGGGTCCTTGCGCTTGCGAGGCAGGCAGCAGAACCACTGAGTTAGATCCCTGGCCTTATATATATATTTATCATTTTAACTTGTACATTTATAGACTTTAAATAATTGGTAAGATTTTGACAATTGTGTTTGACAAAGAAATTATATATATATATATGTAAATATATATAAAAACTTTATATGTATAACAAATATTTGAATGTATTTAAGCTTATAAATGGGATAAAATATTAATCAAAGATATATAGATGTTTGCTATAATTTGCTAAAGTTATATATAGAGGGGAAAAAATCTGTAAAAGAACTTAAGAGCTAAAGGAATCTCTTTTTTTCCTCTGCTTTTGCAGTGCTGGGGAACAAACCCAGGGCCTGGAGCCTATTATATAAGCACTCTAGCATTAAGCAACACCCCCAGATCCCCTAAAGGAAACTTTTTGGTAGACAAATGGGTAAACCAAATGTAGTATATATGTATAATGGAATGTTATTCAGCTTTGTTAAAGGAAATTCTGATGCAAACTGTGATATGGATAAACATGGAGGACGTTATGCTAAGAAAAACGAATGAGTTGTAAGAAGTCCAATATTGTTTGAGGTAACTAGAGTGGTCAGATTCATAGAGACAAAAAATGGAATGGTGGTTGCCAGAGATTGGGGGAAGGAATGGGAGCTAGTATGTCATGGGCACAGACTTAGTTTGCAGGTGAACAAGTGTGTGGATGGACGGTGGTAATGCTACCAAAACCGTGTGAGTGGACATACTTAATGTCACTGCACAACATGCCACTTAAAAATGATAGTCTTCATCTTCTCTGTCCAGCTCAGTTCCTCCACATCTGCCCCGGCTCAACCCTTAGCTCTGTAAGAACTCTACCTACTGAAAACGTTGCCCAAGAGAGTGTCTCACAGTATTATTGGTGATGTAGTAAAAAACTCATGTCAGGTTAATATTTATTTATAGTAAATCTTTTAGTTGGAGGATAAAAAGCCAAAGGAAGTTTAAAAAATTGATAATGCTAAAGATATATTGATTTTTAAAACCAGAATTATTTTGTATAATCTTTTCCATGCAGAAAACCACCCGCAAGGGCTCCTAAAATCCCATTGAACATGGAATATTATTATAGGTAAGTGGGAATTCTGGGGCTCTAATTCAGGCAATTGAAGAATGGATGGAGAGGAAAGGGGCACACAGAGCAGTTGTCACCCGAGGTAGAAGAGTAGGGAAGAAGCAGATAGCTCCTGCTGTGGGGAAAGTAGAAACTTCTTACTTGGCAGCCAGTCTGATACATGGGAGCGGTGCTCAGAAACACCCTGGAGAGGTAAGAATGTGAGAGAATCTAGAATGGGGAGCAATAAAAGTCCTCTGCATTCCACAGAGAGGACCAGGAAAGAATGGTAGAAAGATGAGCGACCTTGACCAAGGACATAATTCTGAGGCATGTGAACATTTTCAGAGTGGTCAGAGTGAAAGAGTGGGAGATGGCAAGATTCGCTCAGTGTAATTTCAGGCCCCAAAATTCCTCTGCACCCCGCCACCATCTCTTTCTCCTCCAGAGCTTTGCCATACCTGGAATTCCTCATCCCAGGAAAAACTGTGGCCGTGAGGCTTTGACGTCCTACTCCAGGCATCATGGAAGGAGAGGTGACACAGAACTGAAGTCACACAAAGATGTGAAGGACTGACTCTAATGCGTCTCCTGTGAGTAGGTCCTTGTGGGAAAGGAGGGTCCCTCCAATGTCTGAGTGAGAGCTGATGGGTGTGGAGGTCCCAAGGAGGTCCCAAGGAGGGATAAAGGTTCAGAAAAGGGAGGCTGGAGGCACAGGTGACTCCATATCGCCTTGTAATCACCCCAGGGGAATTCCTGGTCTCACACTGCCCAGGTGTGGATGCAAGGTGCTCTGAGAGATATTAAATGGGGAGGAACCTCTAGGCTTGTCTTCCTCTTTCCTGAGGGACTGGGGGTGAATGGGAAAAAAAATGACTCCATGAAGTTTGCCTTGATCTTCAATGCTTTTTGATCTTTCATGCCCCCTGTATTGGTTTCATCCAGCTGTGGCTGGACATTTTGCTCTCATTGGATAATGAACCATTGCATAATTAGTTAATTACCCCTGAAGCCAGAGCTGCCCCAAAGGAGGAGGCTCTTAGGCCCTGGAAGAAGGCAACTATGCAGGGGTTGTACAGGTACCACATGCAGGGCCCAGCCTGCCACCAAATCCTCTTGGGGAGCCCTATGTGAGGTGGTCATCCAGGAGTGGGTGGCACTGTCTTATAACCAGTTCAGGCTATGGAAGTTTGCTTGAGATTTGGGCAGCCCGAAGAAGAGACCCAGAGCTGTGGACTGGATTTGACATCTTTATTCTCAGGTGCTGCTGTATTTATTTGCCCAGCTGCTCTACCTGTCCAGCCACTCTTGCTGCTCTCAGCCACTACACACAATAGTGGCTGCCTGCCAGTAGCAGACCTTCTGTGGGGAGAGTGGTTATGTAAATTATTTACGCTGGGATGGAGAAATGTGCTGCACTGGAGTCCTGTTGACCCGCTGCCTGGAGTCTTGTTGACCTGCTGCCTGAATAATAGTCATGGCCTGAACTATAGTCAGCCTGAACTGACTGAACTATAGTTCATAGCCTGAACTTCAGTCGTGCCCCTGTTGGGCTTTCATTTTCCTCTTGTACTCCACCCCCTTCAGGCTGATGGTTTAGTGGATATGCAGGCCCACAGACCTGACCTTTGTACTCACATGTCACAATAGCAGCACAAGGAGAACCTTCATAGGCCACAGTGAGAGCACATAAGTGTTCTGCAAGAATTCTCTGTTCTGTATGCCCATGCATACAGTAACTTCGGGGGACCAGGCATCTAAGACCCACGGAATCACACCGGGTTCATACTATAGCCTCTCTCCCCAAAAGGCTAAGAGAGCTAACTTGCGACAGTGTAGTACCTTTATTTGCCATGACAGTGTCCATTTTACCTGTTCACCCTCTTTTGTGTAGCTTATCTCTCATAGGTCTTGCCATATGGCCTGGCCTCACATGGGCAATGGCCAACCAGCCAATCTGGGGCTTTCCACATAGATAGCCGTAATATATCAGGTCTCTGTATATTGCTCAACTGTCAGTGCATATGGTACAGGGGCCTCCTCTTGGGTGATCATCACCGACATGGCTCTCAGCTCAGCCCCACCGACTGTTCTGCCTAGTACAAGTATTATACTACATGGTGTCTGTTTCCAGCTGCAACAGCTCTCTATCCTGTGATAGACAGGATCCCGCAGCTTGACCCATCGGTATACCAGGCACTTGCTGGTACTGATACTGGTGGTATTCTATTGGCCTTAACACCTACTGTACTCCACAGAAAGGGGACTCGTGGAGCACTCTGTTACTCTAAATACGACCTCTAATTGGCTTAAGCGACCCCTATCTTGGGGACAGATACCTATGAGTGCAGCTACTTGACTTCCGGATGGGTGGTTAGCACCTTCATGGGAACCTCCCTGGTGATTGACTCACAAGCCTGCAAAGCTGTGTATATAGCTGCTGGCTGTTTCTGTGAGGGGATAGTGGACTTCTACCCCCTGCCTTTTTTTTTTTTTTGAGACAGGATCTCACTATGTAGTTCAAGCTGGACTTCAACTCACTATGTATTCCAGGATGGCCTCAAACTCACTACAATCCTCCTGCCTCAGTCTCCTGAGTGCTGGGGTTACAGGTGTGTACCACCACGCCTGGCCTCTACCCTCTTATAGAATTGTGATCAAAATCTTGCAGGCATGTGTAGCGTTCCATGCGCTGCCACAATCCCCAGCTGAAGCCTTTGGTGGTTACATGAACACCCAGTTCATAGGGAAACCTGGGTTTATGCCTGCTGCACCGTCCATTTTGCTTCATGAAATACTTCCTCATCATCTTCTGCTCAATTCCAGGCGGTGCCCTTCTAGCTTAGTTATCCATAGGGACTGAGTTCCTTGATTCTTTTTGTGCCTCCTAGCATCTCAAAGTGTTGCCAGCAGTGCTCCTGAGAATGCACTGCAATTGCCTCTTCTGCCTTGCCTTGGGCTCACTCCCAGCTTTTGATTTGCCTCCTGGCTCCCGGGTACTGCCAATTCCAACTGCTCCAGTATCCTCAACTGAGCTCCTCCCAGCCACCTCTTCTGCTGCTGTCAGGCAATGCCTGCCCCATGTTCAGCCCCGTATGATGTCCATCACGTCCGTGTACTCATGGTCTCTGGATGTAGTCTCTCCAGATCGTCTGTACTACTATTATAAATCAGTCTGTCCACATGTGCTCTCTGGCCTGATAGACTGCTTCCCTTGTAGCAGCCCCAGCCTGGGCCCCGGATCTACCTCTAGGTCTGATTTAGACCCAGACTTAGTTCTGTTTGCAGCACCAGCATGGACTCCACTGTCTATGTCAGTGAGCTCCATCATCTCGGCAACATGTGCTCTTTCTGGACACAGATTATGAGCAGCATTTATCGTTGCTTCCAAGGTTCCACTGTGGGGCTGGTCTCTTAACTCTTTGCTGTGGATGACTCCTCTTAAGGAAGCTTCCTCCTTAGCCCAGGCTGTGGGGAATCCCACCATAATATGCCAATTTTCTTGCCACCAGTTCAGATCAGGGTGGTTTACTTGAGATTCAGGCAGCCCAAAGAAGAGACACAGAGCCGGGCATGATGGAGCACCCCTGTAATCCCAGCACTCAGGAGGCTGAAGCAGGAGGATTGCTGTGAGTTCGATACAAGCCTGGGCTACATAGTGAGTTCCAGGTCAGTCTCAACTACATAGTGAGACCCTGTCTCAAAAAACAAAACAAAACAAGAAGAGATGCAGAGCTGTGGACTGGGTTGGGCATCTTTATTTTCAGGTGCCACTGTAACTGCCCAGTCACCCAGTTTCCTTATCTGTCCAGTCACTCTTTCAGCTCTCAGCTGCTACACACAATAGTGACTGCCAGTTCCAGATCTTATATGGGGCAAATGTTTACATAAGTTATTTACACTGGGATGAAGAGGTGCACCTGCACAGGAGTCTTGTTGACCACTGCCTCCCAGATTACCGCCCCCACACCTCCAGCATGAACTATAGCTGTGGCCCTCTTGGGCTTTTGTGTTCCCTTACAGGCACCTGGCTATGTTCCTGTGGGAGGGGACACTGGGCTCTGTTGTACCCAGCCAGCGAGTACACCAAATACCTGGACACAGATAAGACTGAAAGAAGTTTATTTCACATGTGCAGACTCCACTCCCTAAGAAAAGTGAAGCCCTGTTACAGGATTGTGTATAGGTTTTATAGGGTTTACAGCTATGACCTCATTCAGGTGATTACATTTGATTTACAGATATAAAAATCATGGTTGTAAGACAGTTAACTTTCAACCCAGATGTAGCAGTTCTTTGCTGTTGGGAAGTCTACCTTAAAGATTCGCCTAGCTATCTATCCTAGCCCATGGGAAGCGGGTGTTCAGGGTCAGGAAAGCAAATGTTAACAATGGTTCTTTCATTTAGACACTTTTACAATCAGATGGCTCCAGTCTCATTGGAGCTCAAGACCTTGCTGTGCCCTGTTATCTAAGGGTAAGACCAAAAGCCTCATTCAGCAATTAGTGCCTTCAGTGCCTATTAGTTCTGAGCTAAACAAAACAAACTGCTATTAGAGACAGCAGAAGCCATTTTACATTGTAACACTTTATAGGTTTTTGCTATTTATAAAAGTTTTCCCTGTCATTCCTCCCTTTGCTTTTTGGGGTAACTCCTTACCCCTTGTTATGTTCATACCAATTTTCATTATTCCACATAATTATCATCTGACAATGTTGGGGAGCAGCTACTCTGATGTATGAGTTTTGTTATCCATTCTTCCATGCAGGGACCAAATATGAGGACGAGCAATATAATCACTTTAGCTCAGTCAGGTCGCACAGCCTCAAATCCCATATTGCACGTGAGCATCTATTCAGGACTGGTTTGGAAGCCCTCAGGCAATGGGGTGAAGTAGAGGGTGGGCTCCCAGGGCCATTTGCAACATAAATGGGGGTGGTGGGAACAGACAATGAGGGGTAAGAAAAGGCCTCTGAGGAAAACAGGTGATTCCTGTTC